ACACACATATATACACACACACACACACACACATATATACACACACACACACACACACACACACATATATACACACACACACACACACACACACCCACACACACACACACACATATATACACACACACACGCACACTCACAATCACACACATATATACACACACACACACACACCACAAGCAACAACAAGGTCAAAGCGTTTAATATCGTTTGGATAGGTAAGGGCAGCGTGGAACAAAACGACCGGGAAACCAACCAAAAAGCGACAAAGAAAACTTTCGTTTGCGATATTCTTATTTTTGCGATTCCAACATCGACGCATACACAAACTCGGTCACTTGACTTCCTCTTACACATTGACTTGGCACGTGGAGCGAAGCCACATTTAAAAAGAAACGTGCAAATCTGGGATCAAAAGTGTTTGAACCCAGATTTGATGAAGCCCGTATAGTTTCATATAATAATCTAGTACATACAATAGGAAATGATGGGGTGCTGAGTTAGGGGGCGTTGGAACATTTTTACGTAATCGCATTAAAATTTAGGTATGTATAGGACTAAAAAAATATTTTCACTTAAAGGCAGTTTAGCGTTATCTGTTAAATAGAGAAAAGCAGCAAGTAGCGAAGATCAATTAATATAAAGTACATTCTAAGCATAGTATAATACTATGTACTTGTAGCCTAGCTAAAGCCAGACCAGTTAAGTACCTTTACGTGTAAATTGAACGCGGTCCTATTTGTATTTGGCTCTGGGAGTGCGCACCGTTTGCCTAAAAGTGAGATCTCGATCGGAATATGTAATGGATTATTTGTGTACAATAAAACTTGTTTGATCGGTTATTCAAAACAGCGACTCCTACAGTACAACTAACTAGTAAGGGACCACGTTTTCTATCCAGAATTGTCCGTCGCAGCTCATCAGTCAGGGTTCAACCAAACTAAAAAGAAAAACGGTTCTGGGTCCGCTGTTATCGGTGATGGTCTGAACGGACGCCCAGATGCTGAACAACGAGCTGAGGGTCCACCGTGTCGACATGGCATGAGCAGTAAACTTATACACTCCAACTACACTGGAAGTTTAATTTTTCCGGATCTTTTTAATCAATCAAATACTTCTGTGAAGGATCGCTGACCCACTGACATGGCTCAACATGTCGATCCGGTGTCACGCAATCTGCATGGCATTATTGTATAGCACTAACCCGGCTTTTGTCGAGATGTAGGAGATTCCGTAGTGCCGATCGGAAGCACAACTGCCCTGCTCATTCGATCCGCCTATGCTAACGCGAGCTATACTCAGGGCAAAGTCATCCATCACCTAGTGAGACTAGAATCTACGCTTACTCCAATCTATTGTAGATGGCCAGTATACGTAAAAAGAAATTCTTTTATACTATTGTCTACACTGGCAATTTTTTTGACATATTACAATTTTAACAACCCGCCATCCGCAATCTATAAGGTAGCAGTATTTATATAACTACCTAACACATTGTATAGCATTTTTACTGCAATATGCATTTGCGTAGGAGGAATTTCTGAGCAGAGTGAAGACCGACGTATTTTTAAATAAATTCCTTACAGTTGTCAGCTCTTATCCCAATCGTTTGACTCTTAACCTCCCTACCAATATTATTTGCACTTGGCAGGAAACTTACAAAAATTACTTTCGTTGTACAACTGTTAAAAGCCATGAGAAGGCGAGCAATGTCTCAAAAAATTCTTCACCTGACCTGATTACACGTTCTTACATCTAAGTCACGTCGAGCCCATTCATTGTCAGACTTCATCTTCTGCTGGCTTCATAAGCAGCCACGTATTTTCTGTCCGAGCAATATTCAGTTTAGCCAACTTGTTCTCCTATTAATAGCTGAACGCTTTACTGGTGCTTAAAAATAGCACCCATTTCTGTATGTACTAGTTAATCTCTTCAAACATATATCACTAGCAAAGCCGTCACAATGCACTCATTCTATTGAATCGTTAGCTTTCTACGTATGACAGACTGATTTACCGACTGGCTCACCTATGGATATCAGTTTTCCTGCAGCCTCTCTAATCTGTTACAGTTAATTTGATTTGTTTGTGTATGCCCTCGACTCGACGCGACTGGCTCTGCGTCATCCGGTTTTTCTGTGCGTTTCAGTTTAAGCCGTCTAGCCCCCGTCTACCGTCTATTTAAACCTCGAGTCAACTTGTCGGCGTCTACTTATGTGCCCATTTGTTTACGTATAGTAAGGTCAAGTCGTAAAGAGAAAACGCGAACAAATGAATCAGCGAGAGAGAGAGAGAGCGAGCGAGAGAGAGAGAGAGAGAGAGAGCGAAGAAACAACACAACGGTGAATAAAGCTTTCTTTGCCCGGTTCTCTCGTTCTCCTTTTCTCAGTGCTACGCAGTTGGACGAAACACGCAGCAGAGGGTGTTTCAGCTCGTCATTGAGCAGCTCTCTAACACAGCATCAACTGGTCAGGCGCAACAATCGGCTTAACAATCATTAGCTGCTGTTAGTCGGCTACGAGCTGCACAGAGCTATCTGTAATGGCGTTGGTCGCTGTTGTCTCGCTTAACTGCCGATAGCGAAAAATACTGTCACTGCTGTTGACCGTGCTGCTGTTGCGTTAGCCAGCAACCACCCGGATGCTGTGGTGATAGTAAATGACAAATATGAGCACTCTACATCATGGCTACATGGTGCGTGAACCTGTATCCTTCAGCGGTCAACTCCAATCTCGGAACCGATGTTACTATAATTCGCTAGTAAGCCGCGCATGAGTCAGTACCCCTGCGAACGATCATTGCGGTCATCGCCATCGATATGTGGTGCTATTCTTGTGAACTGTATCACAAGCTAGGCTCGTTTCGGCAAGTTGAGTTGCCGCTATAGTTTTATGCAATACGTCCGTATTGCGATCTGAGCCGATATCGTAATCCGGCTGTACTCCACTCCATGAAAAACCTATCGAGACAAAGAGAATGATAAATTAGGGCGAGGCAGGTGATAGGACAAAAGATTGAAACTGGAAACGAAACAGAGACTCCACATGGAGGATAGAGGTGAATCCCTGATGAATACGATATCTCATCCTCAGTTCCACGCTCTCCGGGCTCTCGTTTCATCACCTACAGTGTACTTCGGAAAGAACATTCTTTGCGCTGAGGCGGACACTTCGGGCAAAAATATTATATAGGAGAGAACAATACGTCACATAAACGTGCGAACTCGACTTACGGACACGAAAACATTAACACATTCAACCGATTACAAGAACAACTAGAACTGTTGTTATCTCATAAAGCCCGATGGAAAAAGAATAAAATATTGACAGAGTAAAACAAGGACCAGAATCAAATTATGGCACCATAAATCTGTTGATGCACCGAGATCGATTGTATGGAGATATCCGGCTGTGATAAAAACACGCACAGCGTTTCGCTCGCAACCGTCCGATGGGTGAGTGTTGTGCACTGATAATGTCACTGATTGAAGAAATGGATAGCTCCCACAGAGCGCTTAGTTGCATCTTTAACACTGCTAGCAGCACAAGTCATACAACGCTAGCCGGTTGCGTGCTTAGCACGAAAAACCATGTATGTATATACATATACATATACATATATATGAAGTGAATATACGGTCATTTTCTAACGACAAATGATTGTTCTCGTTTTTTTTTTTTTTTTTCTGTTCTGTCCACGATACTTCATTGCGCTGAGTCGACGGCGACAACAGCTGCAACACCAGTCCAATGGAACATCATCAATACGATATAACTCATTTTTCGAGCTCTCAATCTCGATTCAGGCGTTCATCCTGGCCGCTATATCTCATTCTATTGAATCTATTAGCTGCCGCCGTTTTCTCCAAATACTAGAGCTAAAATTAGTAGTGCTAGAAGTAGTAGTCGGTGACCTGTTCGGTTCACTACGCTGCTGCGGCTCCTCCTGCTGTTGTCGCCACCGCTGCCCCCTTCTGTCTCCGTCGTAGCGGCTCATCATCGCCGTCATCTCATCGCTACTACTTCAAGTCATAACAATATCATGCTCACATACGCACGCAAGCACGCACGCACGCACGCACGCACACACTCACACGCAGATAAAGACACACAGCCATAACGACGCCAGCTAACCGCGGTCGTCGCGTCTACTGCGACCGCAAATTCAATACGACAGCACCCCGCGACAGCCGCAGCACGACCAACATCAATCGACACAACAACCAGTCGCGCTGTTACTTCGCCGGTGATGGCGGCGACGAGTGATGCTGCTGCTGATGCTGCGACTGCTGGGATTGCCACCGTACAGACTGACGGCAGCAGACAAAATGGGAAAAGCCATAGCGAAAAGATGGTCGTCGCCAGTGACCAGTGGCCGATAGTCGTCACTGCATTAAAAATTTCTTGCCTACTAGAATGTTTTACCGATACCGTTCAATATCGCCTATTCGCTTGACCGTGTGCTGGCAGTTGTAGGTAGCGTTATAACAGCCATACTGAACTCGGTTGATACCATTGCCGTCACAGCGCTATCGCTGTTAGTAGAGACTAAGTTTGATGCGTGGTACGATGATATCATCGTTCAGGCTACTGGACAGAACAGGGCCTATCTATGCGTGCTGCGGTGGTTAGATAATAATTGCAGGTCGCTGCTATAGCCGTTACGGTTCTACTTATATCTGTATGTTTTCTATTCTATCTAGACGTATTTGCTTCGTAACAATGTGCCGAAGAGCGGTAATCTGCGCGTGTCTATATTCTCGGTCTCCACTCGTTTTCTGATGATGGTGATGATCTCTGTCAATAGTGGCCACATAAACATAGATAGTTGAATAGAGGTAGTTTCAAGGGTGTCTTGCTGATTTTGTTGATTCATACGTCTATAAATGTGTAGTTTATTTTTTGTTGCTTCGCCGCCACCGCCACCGCCGTCGTCGTCGTCGTTGCCGCCGGCGTCCGACTTAAACGAGACAATTATAGAGAGTAATAGGTCAACACTCACACATCAGGTTGATGGCTGAGGTTCAATTAGAGTCCAGGGGCCCGCTGCTGCTTCTCTTCTTCGTCCGGCGTCGATTTTTTCTTCAGCTGCTTCCACTGCTGCTGTCTCCTTAAGCACGCACTGCTTAGTACTGCTGTTACCTTCTCGTTATTGTTGTTCTTGTCAGTGTTGTCGCTTCGGCGTCCACTTCTGTGCGTTAAACAGTGCGTTTCTGCCAACCAGCAGCAGCAGCTGCACAGGGACCACCACAACAAATTTGTCGTCGAAACTGCTGCAAATGGTGACTGTAGCCGATTCTGCCTTAGACGTGTAGGAGACGAGGAGATCTGCCCACAGAAACGTATATATATATGTGTGTGTGTATATATATACGCATGCACACACGACACCACACGATTGCTCTATGAATTTTTGCTCGTGCTTTTTTCTCGTTTTTATGCCTGCTTTCGTTCTGCCCAGAACTCACTATCAGTAAACTATTTCCGTCGTGGTTGTAGCTGACTGAAAGCTGCGTTCCGTTGTACACGCTGAGTTTGAATAGGATTCAACTGCTGTACGGAGTAATGATACTGTTATTACAATGTTACTTTGTGAATGTCGCCTGTGCGGTGTCTTGCAGCGACAACTTTTTTCGTCCTTCGTCTCTTTTTCTGCTGTATCTTTTTATGTCGCCAGCAGCGCTATGTTGCTAGTCGTTCTTCCGACCTGTGCGTACGGTGAACTGCTTCCACTGTGCACCGGTCATACGGCTGTACACATGCACATACTCGAACGAACGCAACTGGATGGCGGCAGGCAAAATTGACGACGACTCGTCCTTTTTGTTCTTCTCTCGTCGCTCTCTATGAAACACCGACAAAACACTTGGGATTTGGGAGCCCAAGTAATCAGGGAGCCGCCGTTGATGATTAGTGGTGGGCGAAAATTCCACTGGGCAGCCACCCAACCAGGCCTTCAGGACCGCCACGACGCACTAACTGCACCAGCCACGATAGGTAAAACCAACGAAACGGTTAAACCAGTCGAGCGGCCCGTCGCCGACGAGACAACTGGACGTCCGGAGACAGCCAGGCAGTGCTCGATGGCGGTGGACGATCCGTACTGCTACTACTGCTGCTGCTGGTGCTGCTGCTGCTGCTGCTGTTGCTGTTACAACCGCTGCCCCTAGTCCCTAGTTTGCAGTAATAATAATTAATAGCAGTAATAATGTAGAAGTAGTTATTAGTAGCACTAGTAGATGCAGTAGAAAGGGGCAGTTGCAGTCGCTGTAGATTACTGTAGTGGTAAGAGTGAGTCTGCTATTGTGGCTGGCGTTGTTCGTTGTTGTTGCCTTTGGCGTGTCTACTCAAAATGGGCCAACCGCTATATATCCGCACGCGGTTTGGCTCGAGACGCCGCTCAGGGGTTGGCCGTCTCACGGTTTGTGCCTTACAGTCCACAAAACCTGGTCCAGAACGGCCAAGAAGCACGAAAAAAACACAAGACACACACACGCACACACTAGGTCCTCATCGTAGACCGTCACCTAATCAAAACAACATGGCAGCACAGCCATCACCATCACCGATACCAACCACCATCACTACTACGACAACGGCGGCGGCGGCGGCGGCGACAGTAGCAGCGACCGCGGCGCCAGCCCACAGCAGCAGCAGCAGCAGCAGCGGCGGCGGCGGCGGCGGCGGCGCTGGTGCTGTTGCCAGCGATGCTGGCGTTTGTGATCATACTGATGATTGTACTGATGCTGATGATGACCAGTACAGCAGCAGCAGCAGTTGCGGCTCTGTGGCAGTGCGATGGCGGCGCCATCAACAGCGACAGCAGCACGGGCAGCCACAGCAAAGCGAAGCAGCGCCGGCGGCAGCGGATGCTGCGAACGGCGACGGCCATAGAACAAAGACGTAAGGCAAAGAATGAACTAGTAGCAGGCGTAAAGCGAGAGCCCAGCAGAACGCTATAGCATAGCAAATCCTAGGCACCTTTACCCTCCCCCCTCGTACCACCCTCTCAGTCGGAGCAACCAGAGAACCAACCATAAAAGTAGCGGCGACAGGCACAACTAGCACCAGCTCTAAGCACCACAGCACAGCTTCGTCAGCCAGAAGTAATTGAAGAGTGCTGAAGCGCCCTTGCAGCGATGGCTGCAGCAGCGCCTGTTACTCGTTACACCGGCATAAGTTGCTGTGTGCTCGAACCTAGCCAACTTGCGTCTGCTAGCCATTCCGACAAGCGGGCACGTTTGAAATTGAGAGCGATCGCTTCCGTACAAAAATGGCATATGCGCTCGCGGGCTATTCACACACGTATAAACATATCTATACATATCTAGTGTTATGTAAAAAATTTTAAGGAAAGGCACTGCTTGATGGTTTCACCATCATTTTACCGCAAAAACCTAAATCGTTTTCAGTCTTTCCTGAAAAGGTTTGTTAACAAAGTAGTATATAGGTGTGATATACTACGAACTAGCAAGTATGGAGAAACTGAGAAGAAGGACAAATGTTTGAAATGTAAAGAGACTGCTAGGTCTGGCCAAACTGACTTGTTTATAACGATGCTAGACACTACCGTAATAACATGCAATAACCTTTTGGAACTCAGGTCGCTGCATAAAACCTTTAGAAATAGCCCACAATGAAATTGTTAATAGTGCCATCGCTCAATGCTTGGCCCGTAACCGAGCTCTCGATTGTGTTCCCTGTGATGCCGCTGATAAACGCTTTTCTCGGAAGAGAGATGGCTTGTATCGCATTCTCACATCAATCTTGAGAAATTTTAAATAGCGCGACGGAAAGACAATATTTAGGCATCTCGGCAATTTTAGCTTACAAACTTTTACAACTCGCAGATGCTACTTACCTAGAGTGTTACAGTTCTACAAATATATTTCACAGCAATTTAATGTAATGTCATTTGTCTAGTAAAATCCAGTTGTCAATTGGTTGGTTGCTGAACGCGGGCGACAACGGTGTCAGCGGCCTTCAAATAAACGCGGTTCTTTTAAATCAGGCAGGTGCGCGCGCGAACTTGCACCGAACGTTAAAAAAGACGAAAAGTAAATGCGTTAATTAAAAGAGGAAACAAAATCCTCAGGGAAAAAGTTGTGTTTTAGAACTTCAGAGAATTTTTTGAGTCCGCACATTTAAAAACAGTACCACGCCACGGAAGAAAGGTATTACGTCGGATTAAATGTGAACGTTGTTTTTCCATTTCTCTGAAGAAATAATATATTGTTGAGGGCAGGGACTCCACATGGGCGTTAAGATTTTCATGCATGCTAGCGGTAAACGACCATGAATCATAAAGTACTGACAGAATTCCAAGAGCCAGATGCGTACAGTCCTTTAATTGAGAGGCAACACTTTTGAATTCAAGTCGAACACCATATTATTCAGCACGCACGCGACTAACGGAGCGTCCCCTAAGCGGCTGGTACTGAGTGTCCTTTAAGGATAAAATTAGTTATAATGTCAGTGTCGTAATCAACTTCATCACTCTAATCTGTGGCGTAGATTTGTCAGTGGAGCATTTTGCATTTCGAAGCGCATTTTAAGGTAAGATTGTTTTTTCGTTAACGCAATTAACTCAGCCAAGGTAGTACTTCGATCACCAATACAATTGATGTCCGTACACTTGCTCAGCGTACGTTAACGGAAGACAGTGTTTTTTTTTATTTACATTGCATGAATACTTCGACCTTTAGAGATTTGTTTACTTATGGTAAACTCCATGTTGGTTCGCAGGCTAAATGCTGCCCACAGCCAGTAACTCAATCGAAATTAATTTCTCTAAAATATTACTAGGTATTACAGCGCATTTACGATTATCTGTGTATGCAGATTAGATGGCAGCAAAGGAAAACATGGAGCTATTTGACAGTATCAGATGCTCCCGTCTTTAGTGGATATCAGTGTTTGTTGCAGATTAGAGACACAGCAGGCGGCACCATTTATCAGGGTATCGCTGCTAAAATCGTCGTACATTAACCCTGAAACTATGTTAAGTCAGCATAAGCCATTTCCTAAAGTCTATTTTCCGCAAAAGATTTTTGAAATGCAATTTAATGAGTTTTTCTGTGACCCATTTCATTTTATTATATTTATTGTTATTATGCTCACTGCTATACTTTTGTTGTTATATATATATATATATATATATATATATATACAAGTAGTAGTCTATAATAAAAACTCTGAAAAAAAACTATGTTAAGGAATGTTCTCGATTCTACGGTGGGTGCTCAATGTTGAAATTTGGAAAAAAATTTTAGTTTAAAAAAAATTGCTAAATATGGAAATTATATGTTTTCAGAGTGAACCTGTTGAGAAAGGACCAAATGTTATGCATGGATCTAGTACGACTGATTTTCTTGTATTCTTGATGTAATTAATTTATCATACTTTAATGTCCTGATTATTTCTTTACGCTGCTCACATGTTTTTTTATCGCCATAAACGAATTATGGTAGGAAAACGGTTGCTTTATTTGTTTTTCTATTTGTTTGATAAGGCTTTAAATTTCTGATGCCGACCGCGTACAAATTCGGCAGCCGTCCAACATAGGTAACTTAAAAGAAAGTTGCATTTCGCGAGGCATGGTCGCAAAACGCGACCAGACTTCACTCTTGAAATGCATGCAGCGCCTCCTTATGGCAAGATGTGTCATTTGATTTAAAAATGTACTTAAATTTCATGTCAAAGTTCCATTTCAAAACAAACGATGGTTGAAAACATTTGTAAGATTAATAAAAATTTTAATATCAATCCTAATCTTTTAGAGTTCTTCTAAAACAAATGTATTACTTATTTCAGTCTTTTACAAGTTATCACATTCAGCCGAGTACTAAAAGTCACTCTCGCAAAGTGTCACAATAAGCAGATCTAAGCACAAATAACCGTTTGTCTAAACAACATCGATTCAATCAATAACTGTGTGCTAATGCAACATCTTAAGAAACAGACAGGCCTTTTTTTATGCAAATAATATAAAATGACAAACTCATAAACATAAGAAGTATGCTACCAACGAAGGATAACTCTAATAAATTCTATTTGCCTACTCTAACCCGCTGCAATTTTCTTCATTACAGCAGGAGAGGTCTCCAGTCCCACGTTGCGTCTCAGACCTGTAACGATTATGTGTAAAGTTGTATGCTTTACTAGACCAACGAAAGGACCAGGACACTAATTCAGGTTGGAACCAGAACAAGATGGACGCTGGCCATAAAGTTAGGGAGACTTGAAAGCTCGTGCTAACGCGACCTTTGGTTCGATGAATAGTTCGCTGATGCACAAGTAACATTCAGTTTTCTTGAACCTCAAATATAGGTTAGGTCAACACATAGCTCTACCTCCTCTAACCCGCTAGCGAAGCGCAGCTGTAGAAGAGCGGGCTCTTCTTGAATCAATCAAATTCGGACTGTATGTCGTAAATGGTGAAACCGCAAGAAGGGCATGGAAACAAGTGAATACAGAAGGGTACAACGTCTAATTTCAAAATTGATCCATGCTAGCAATTACCTCTATCACAACAGTGATATTTATAGACCACGACATTCGTTAACTCGCCGCCTACGCTTGCCCCACTTTAACGTTAAAGTCCCCAGTTCTTCCCGGTGAAGCGAATTATTTGACAAGACTTTTGCGGTGTTGGTTGGTTGTTTCCCTGGCATTTAACCTGCGTTACGTTAGCCCTCGTTTTTATGCTAGATGCGTTATGTTTCGCCATTGAACCTCGTTGAAGTTTTAACTTTCTCTTCAGGTAGTCGTTCGCCTTGAAACAAGTATCGGCCTGGTCTCTCTTAAGGGTGTAGAGCAATCGGTTACTTTGGGTGAGAAAATGGCTACCTTAAGAGGACAGCGTTCGTCTACAAAGAGATATCGTCGCTCGTAAGTTGTTGAGAATGCACCGGGTTCAACAGGTAGAACTTGTTGCTTCTGCTACGGCTCGATGTTGAACAATTTTATAACCGTCCCGGTCGGTCTGCACCAGGGTTTTGGTACGGGGAGGGGGGGGGGGGTACGCGCGGGAGCACCGCCTTGCAGGTGAGACGTCTCAGGGCGGAGCCATAGGCGGAGTCTGCACAAACCGTAGACAAAAAAATATGTTTAGTGCAATCACTACTATAACTCATTTTGGTTTTAGCCCGTTAGCAGACTCAAGCGAGAGGGATCGAAATCGTGTTTCATTCAAGTCTGTATCTTAAAAGGATCTAGTACATGCATGTATTTCAGGATTGACAAGGTATCGGTTTCAATGACGATCTTTTTACCTTGTAGTAATGACTTGGTATTCAATTTTCAACGAGTGTAAAGTGTGAAAGAACCATGGGTTCAAAAGTTCAGTGTCCAGTAATGCTTATCTTCATCATTTTATTCATGTGTGATGCCTAACATATTCCACGACAGAGTTAATATTTGAAATTCTGATTTCCGTGGATGTGTCGTGATCGAGCTTAGAGCAGCTGCAAGTGCTTCGAGTAAAAACCTCATTTGATATACGAGCGTCTGTCAGGTTTATAAAGGTTTGGA